ATGATCAACGGAACTAAAGGGCCTTCATCCAGAATCGAATGGATGTGGAAGACAACCCTAGAAGCGACTAAAAAGCCAATTGCCAGTCACATCAATGCGGCATATACCAGGGGATGGCGCTACACCCACTGCTGTTCTGCATAGCCTGAACCCTTCAGTCAGATCATCAACAAAGACTGGTTAAGTGGGTACCAATTCGAAGTGGAGTAACAATTAGCCACCTGCTCTACAAGGATGACATCCAGCTGTACGCCAGGAATGAGCCGAGAAATCGACCTCACTGATCCACACCACCAGGCACCCTCTCACAGCAACGACATAGGGATGCACTTCGATTGGAACAGTGCGGTGGTCGAGGTACTCATCAAGACGAGAGCGGAAAGAGGGAGGCCGAGGACTACAGATGTACAGGAACATGAGTGCAAATAAATGTTTAATTTTGCTCAGTGTATGCGGGATGTAAAATTAAGCAACTGTTTGATAATAGTATGAGGCGATCATGCCCCAAGCCGCCAAATGATACTTCTTTTTTTGAAACGGTAAATCTATAAAATTTTCAGAAAAAGTCTCCCAATAACAATCAATGATTGTGGAGCTTTTGAGTTTCTTATGCTTCTATAAAGTACCTCCTTGTTGGGCCTCTATTGTTCTGACTCAGTTTAGATCACTTGCGCTGTAAAAGGAACTGAAAGGGCTATAAAAGGTTCAGATATTGATTATGTTACAGCATCTTTGGTACACTTAAAGGCAGCAGCATTCTCTATAATTAGTTATACCGTATGCTGACAGTTTCACTGATGCTGCTGACGTCCGCAACAGGCTACGAAAAGCCTTTTTTAGCTTTTTTTTTCCCTTTTTATTAAATTAGTGATTTTAAATGGTACACAAGTACTGGCAGCAGTGTCAAGGCTTTGTCATTTGTTTGTCTTTGTTTTCATTTCCATGTCATTTGAATTGCTTCAGTCCAGACTTTATTTTGCTTTACAACCACTGGTTCACTTGAGCTTTCTGTGACCATCATGGCAATAAAGCTGCCACGATTCGAGGTTTAGTCCCATTAGGCCATTTATGGACTTTACCTGCTCTTACCATTTAAAAAGTAGAAATTCAGATGGAAAGGAGACCGGTTAAAAGAGGGTTTTTAATCCCTGAGAATAATTATTTTGCTTAAATGGGATGCAACTACATATAGGGATTTGTGTTGCTATTTGTATTTGACTAGCACACAGAGGACAGACAATTTAGGAAGCAATTTGAAAATGCACCGTTTTTTGCAGCATCACAAGTGACCCAGTAAGGACTAACTTGCTTCATTACTGGTCACAGCAGGCAGAATCCCTCGGGGATTAGTGAGTCACTGGTGCTGTAACCTGCTATTTTATATATAAACAAGCAAACAAACATTTTTACACCACTGACTTTAAGCCATTGTGACCATTTCCAATGTTAGATTTTTCACAGTCACAGCAGGGTCCTATTGAAATGAGTGCCAAATGACAAGATTATGTGCTTGAAGTTTTTCCCTCCTAATCCTCCAGGATTACCTACTCTTTTTTTTTTTTTTCCATTGAAATGTCTTCTGCACACCGGAGGCACCAGACTGTACTTCATTCCACAAATTTCTCCCTGGCTGTAGTCCTCCTTCATCTTATCCCCACCACTGTTCTGCTTTGTCGGTGTGAGCTGATCATATGACTCTTTGTTCTTTCTTGGGTATCGGTCTTGTGAATAATCCCTTTTACAAGATATTATGCTGCAAAAATAGCTCTTTAACAAGTCAGTTAGTACTTCAAGGCCAAATAATTTAAAAAAACTTCTTACTGTACTTGTTCTTAGAGGAGTTTCATATGTTTTATAATTGTATGTAGAAATGTGGTTCATTATCTTTTTTAAATGAGACAGAATAAGTCAAATTACTGCATTAGTGTCAAGAAAGTGGCACTTAATTGTAGAAGAGCTGATCTAACTCTGTATGTAAAGATTCAACAAACACACACTTCTGGCAAATCAACACATACTGAGGCAAGCAACGCAAGCTTTCCAAAAACAAATTGTGAGTCTTGCATACGTCATTTGAAACACTTGTCTCTGAGTGTGACCAACACTAAACCCAGGAATTAGCCTCCTAGATTAGCTCTTACTGCTAACTTCATAAGGCCCTGCCTGAGGTTAACATGTGTATCTAACAAACAGAAATGCTTCAGACCTTACAATAAATGCAAACAAATGTGTCTTGGTAAACTAAAAAAGTTGTATTGTTTGTTGGGTGAAAGTAATCTTGTTAAAGAAAGTTGGTTGGTGACTGAGCTTTTGAATGGCTGCATTTAACTTGTTCATGTTGCACTTGTCAGGGGGAATTCTTCCTAATGATCCCATATGGGACACGAGGAAGTGTGAATCAGAATGGCTGCTGATGGTCTGTGGAAAAAGCACAATCTTATAACTGGGATAACTTGTTTACCATCTAACATTTCTCAAGAACTGAATGTCTTGGTTTATTGTGAGGGGCCTAATCTTTTAGATGAGTCGACCACAGAGCTCCTACAACTCAGGCTCATGTTTGTGATGATCCAGCAGTGGAGCAGTGATGGCACTGGGCGTGCAGCCCTCCTGGGGAAGGCACTAACTGTGGATGGGCCAGGCTCGATTGGATGAGAATTATTATTGGAGGCTTTTTGTTTTATGCTGAGTATGTGCAACATCTGAAGCTCTGTTTTAATTAAGCTGCTGTTTGTGGGCTGCATAGATTACACTTGGCCAGCTTTGGTCTCTGCTTTTTTCCTCATCATTATTTCTGATCAGCAAGGGAGCCCTGTTCTGAGTTCACAGTGTGCTAACGTTGTTGTGCTTGTCCGTAGACTTCATCATAAATGCCTCTTTTATTGGCCATAATAACTCCTGGAAAGCACAAGGTGCTGTCCAAACTGTTTTTTATGCTCCTGCTTGATTACAATGCATGCTTGCGATCCACAAAGGACTAAATCACAATGCAAAGGGCTGATTTAACCTCTGAATACTCTTCAGTCACATGCAGACCTTGAGGCGTACCACCCCTTGAGATGCATTTCCCGTATAGCGATCCCATGGAAATGGAACATTTTGCTCACTTTCTCACCTAAATTTGCAGCAAATTTGGAATAAAAGTTGTTTTCATTTCAGAATTCAAATGTTTTGAGCTCTTCCAGGCTGTGTGAGGAGTGTGATCAGACACATGAGGTGTACTTGGGGACACAGAATATTAGATTTATACTCTCTTGTATGTAACCCCCCCATGTGGGACCAACTGTAGAGCGCAGAAAATTGAAGAGGGGGCAAAGCACCGTGGCTAATGTAGGAGGAATAATTTGCTTTTAATAAAGATGCAGCTAATACCATATATTGAAATCTCCCACTTCAGTGGCGTAATTGGCCTGTTTAGAAGTAGACTGCAGCGCAAAAAGTAGAAGTGAACAACAAAGGTTTTGGTATGGCTTGGTTTGTACTATGAATTAATCCGACGGGATTTGATTATAGTGGTTTTAGATATGGCCCTAATCTGCTCATGGACAGGGGCTGCACATGTTGCATGTTCAGCATGAGAAGTGGCGTGGGAGAGGAAGAGCTATGGGTTACTCTGGTCCAGAGTGGAAGTGTCATCACCCTGGAAAAACTGCATTTTTGATTCGGTGTAAATATTTATTAGTGAGTAGAGTGTGACTTCTTCTGTTGGCGAAAACAAAAGACAGAATTTGAAGCACGAGAATGGACCAGATTTTTTTTTGGGGGGGGGAGGCAGAAAATTTGGCGGCAACAAAAGGGGTAAATCTGCCAGCATGTAGCAGCCAGTCCACGTTGGAATGTGGGTTTGTCAACTCTAGGGAAACACCAGAAGGAGGCTTTTTAAAAGGGAATTACACAAGCGGGGATTATGCTGCTGTGCATAATGGAAACTGACCTCGCTTTGCTTCTCGCTTGCATGCCAACGGTGGAACAATGCAGCAGAGAGAGGGGCGCACAGGCATGAGCACCTGCACAGAGCACTCTCCGCACTGTGCAGTTCAAACATGCCTGACCTCTTTATGTATTTATTATTCACATTCTGTTCTGCTTCAGATGTTCTGCCTTTTTTTCCTTTTTTTTTTTTTGTTTGTTACTCAAACTTTGATTCATCATTGCCTTTTGCTAGTGTGAAGTAGCTTTTATTAAAACTGAGGCTAGAAAGTACATTACAGCAGGTTTTAAAGATGTACAGTCACAGCAGCAAGGTAGCTTTGTTCTCTTTGTTGTTGCAGATCATACCTCACCCTGAGGGAGTTGTTTACCTATTTCTCCTGTACACAGCTGAATGCATACGTTTCACAGTCTCCTTTTAGGTTATTGAACCAGGAAGCTTCTGGTCCACCAGCTCGGCCTCTTTCAACAGCCCGACTACTCCCCCCTCATACACGCACAATCATATAAAGGCTGAAAGGGAGTCATGCTAAAAGTAGAAGTGTAATAGGTATAAGAGTGGGTTCATGCAGGTGAAATTGCACGTGTTTAGGTGCTTACATGAGCATGTGAGCAGTTATACATGTGACGCATGACCAT